GGGCGCCTGGGTGGCTCAGTTGGTTAAGCGACTGCCTTCGGCTCAGGTCATGATCCTGGAGTCCCGGGATTGAGTCCCACATTGGGCTCCCTGCTGGGCAGGGAGTCTGCTTCTCCCTCTGACCCTCCTCCCTCTCATGCTCTGTCTCTCATTCTCTCTCTCTCAAATAAATAAATTATTATGCTGAGTGAAATAAGTCAATCAGAGAAAGACATGTATCATATGACCTCACTGATATGAGGAATTCTTAATCTCAGGAAACAAACAGGGTTGCTGGAGTGGTGGGGGGGGGGAGGGATGGGGTGGCTGGGTGATAGACATTGAGGAGGGTATGTGCTATGGTGAGCTCTGTGAATTGTGTGAGACTGTTGAATCGCAGACTTGTACCTCTGAAAAAGATAATACATTATATGTTAAAAAAAAAGCCAACATATTATTATTTATTATGTATGGTGATTAACATAACATAATAAAATAAAAAAATGTAAAATAAAAAAAACCATAACATAATAAAAAATAAATAAAAGGCTTTTTCTGTTGTTCCCCTCTCTAGGTGAACCACTCAAAATAATTTGACATATATATTTCCATGTCTGTATATATTTAGTTATGTAGATATGTGAATAATGCTTATATAAATAGTTGTGTTTTAATCATCTAGTGCTTGCTTTATATTTATCAGTATGTCATGGCTATCATGACACCTCAGCAGATTGAGGTCTATGTCTTGCTTTTTTTTTTTTTTTTAAGATTTTATTTTTAAGTCATCTCTACACCCAACATGGGGCTCGAATTTATAACCCGAGATCAAGAATCGCATGCTACACCGACTGAACCAGCCAGGTGTCTCAGTCTTGCTTTTGCAATAGCTGCATTGTATTTCATTGTATTGTGTCTGTTTTCTCTCCATCTAAAATTATTTTTACATACGATGTTGTGGTAGGCATATAATTGAACTATTCTCCTCAAATGGATAGTCATGTGCATGTGTCCTAATGACATTTATCTTTATTCTCCTGACTCAAAATGCCACCTTTATATTAAATTCTCATATGACATTTGGGGATCATTTAATGGTCAGATAGCACATATTCAGACCACCAACTTTAGTTTTTCTTTATTTTATTATGTTATGTTAGTCACCATACTAGTTTTTGATGTAGTGTTTCATGATTCATTGTTTGCGTATAACACCCAGTGCTCCATGCAGTATGTGCCCTCCTTAATACCCATCACCAGGCTAACCCATCCCCCC